TGGGTTCGAATCCCAGTACGACCTCTTTTTGCTTTTTTTTCTTAAAAGCAGCTTCGAGTTATCGTCGACTTGTGACTTCTATTCCTCCCTCAGAATCACCACACTGTTTCGCTCGACCAGACTGTAAGATATCGCGACGTCAGCTCATGCTTTGCCCATCACAGAGCTTTACTCAATACGATCGGTCAACTGAGGGTGGAAAACATGTATTTCAACAATTGGGCATCACGCGGATGCCACAAACGAACGAAAGGAAAGAGGAGTGCGAAGGAAGGGAGGGGCAGCGTTGAGCTGAGTTGAACGAGGGAGAGAGGTGTTAGGGAAGAGAAAGGTGAGAGCAGCTGGCTTTGCAAATTCGACGGCTTACTTGCCGAATCGGTGTCCGCCAAGAGACGAGATGACGCTGCGAATGCTATCCTCGCTCCAAAGGTACCTTTGCAGGTTCTCGGGGAGCTGGTTGTAGGGCACGGGCGCCTGGAGACGGCCGTTGACCTGCCTCTGGAAGACGTAGGTGTGGGTGCTATCAGGAATGATGTGGATCGTCTCGGCCTTGCGAATGGGATGAGCGTACACGTTGTTGAAGTCCTCGTAGTTTTCGGCTACGCGGACCTGACGAGCCCGAGCCTCGGCGATCGACATTCGGCTGTGGGCAACGTCGTAGACGTTTCGCATGTTCCTGCGGATGTGAGCCTTGACATCGTCGGGAAGACGCGACCAGCTCCTGACCTGGGGAGCCTGATCCATTCGCGCAGGCATCATGTGGAACACGTACGTGCCATCTCGAGCCTTCATCAGTCGAATTGTTTCGCCGGGGTAGTTGACGACGCGAGGCTCTTGGTTGGGCGGAGCACGCTTATGCAGGCGCAGGCGACCGATGGCAGATGCCCACGGCAGGTCGGGCGCACCCTGCACAAGCGACTTGACGTACGTCTTGAGATGGCTTGGCAGATCTTCGAACGGCACTCGCACACGGCTGTCCCACATGACGCCTGGCTTGAGATACTCGAACTTGTACTTGTCGCCTTTCCTGAGGACGGCAATGGTGTGCGCACTGCGTCCCTGGGTGGTGTAGAGTCCGTTGCGATCCCCGATGTGCTGCGAGACTTGGATGTGCTGCTCCGCATTGCGTCCACCATTCTTGACCGCCTTGTCGATCTTGCTAATCGAGGCGCGCAGCTCATCCTGCTCCGCGCGATGCAGTTCTTCCCAGGTCCTGGGTACAACCGCTCGGTCAGAGCCCGGTAGGACGGGGTAAAAGTGCAATTTGTTGCGCGAGCGAACAATGTTGTAGCCGGCTCCGGGGTATCGGAGGGAATCAACTTGCTGCCATCCGGAGCTCGAGACGGCAGGTGCTCGCTTCCTGAGGCGGCGCAGCACAGAAGCCCAAGGCACGTCGGGGTGACGGGCGACATAGTTCGATGCATACAGCTTGAGGTGCTCCGGAAGTTCACTAAACGGCACCGTCTTGCGGGAAGAGCGCAGGAGGCCCGCCTGCGAATACTCGAAACGGAAGTCGTTTCCTCTCTGCTTGACAATGATCTCGTCCTTCGCGAAGCCAGGAAGCCGGTAGAAGCCGTTGCGACTGCCCTGAGTGGGCGAGACGCCCATGTGGTGCTCTGCTCGGGCCCATCCGTTGGCCTGTGCCTTCTTGAGGTTCTCGACCGACTTCTTCAGCTGCGCTTGATGACTGCTCGGCAGATCCTCCCACCTGTACGGACCGTCTCCACTGCCAGGAAGGTTCACGGGATAGATGTACAGCGGTCCACCCACCCTGCGAACAAAGTTGTAGCCGGCACCATCGTAGCGAAGAGTGCTGACTGGAGTCCATCCGGAAGCAGGGCCAGGTGCAGGGCTGCGCTTGCGAACATGAAGCTTGCTCTTAGCCTCGTCAACGACCTTTTCCACGCTGCCAGCTCCTTCCTGCAGAGTCTTCTTTGCCTTGCCTGCAAGATCAGCAGCACCAGAGGCGACGGAAGAGGAAGGCGGATGCTCCTTCTCGGCTTCCCCCATGGCTTCAGCCATGAGCTTCTGATGGTTTTGCCTCCTCGCATCTGCCTCTTCTTCTTCCTTGATCATCTCGGGAGTCACTTGCACGCCCTCCTGGATCGCACGGAGACCGGCGCGCTGCCGAGGTATCATCTTTGCGCGTCGAGCTGCTTCCTCCTCGAACGAGGGTGGAACCTGCTTGAATCTCGCCAGATTCGCTTTGATCTCTCTGTCCGTCCAAACGAAGTTGGGATCGATCTGGGTCTCACCGGGGCGATCACGAGTTCTCCATCGGCCCATGAGCCTTGACATAATGTCTTTGAGGGAGAAGTCTTTGATCGCCTCTTTGGATCGGAAATAGGCATCTTTCGATCGAGCGGGTGCGGACTTGAAGAATTGAGCCGTGCGATCCGCAGCGTTGACAGTGGCGTCCTTGGCACGGACAAGTTTTTGACGGAGAGCAGCCGCCTTTTCTTCCGTGTTCGTTCGCAAGCGAGCAATGTTTTCGCCAAGTCGTTCGATACCACTCTTGCCCGCGGCGATCCATCGAGCGGGTCCTGAAGCCTCGACAGCCTGAGCGGCACCGCCAGCAGCAGGCGCAGAAGGGGAATTGGTCGACGGACCACCAGCCGGTGAAGCACCAGCTGGCTGAACCTCGTCGGCGCGGCGGATGAGAGCCTGCGCGGGAGCTGCAGTGGTGAAAGAGGAGAGCAAGAAGAAGGCGAGCACGCCGACCAGCAGCCACCAGGGCTGCTGTCGAACGAGCTTGCGAGTGAATCGCATCTTGAAAGACTGTGGTTGAGAGGGCTGAAACGATACGAAGCACGCGAGAGTCAGTCAGCGTGGTGATACAAGGAGACGAGTCGGCAGGAGAATGGAAGGAACTTACAGCACGTGTTCTGTACCTGTACAACTTGAGAGGGTGGAAGGGACGTGTGGCGACAAAGACTCGGTCACTCCGACCTGGGGCTTCTATTAAATACGGACGAAATTTCTGGCATGTTGTCCCGTCGCTTCCTCATGTGTAGTCTGATGAGCCGTTTGAACCGCCCATCCAGGGATGTTTGCCCCCACTTCCACTTCATGAACAGTCAACGGTCCCACTGCGATAGCGCCCCTTTTTTTCCACCAACGTGGAACAGGCATGTCCCTCCAGCCAGAAACCCGTCTGATCGGCTGCATGACTTGCCGAAGTGGGCGTCAATAACCTTGCGCTTCGGTGTTTCATCTCCGGTTGCGCTTTGAACCTCCGCAGCCCGCTTGGCTTGCAACAGACCACGTTGCCGGTTGTGCCACACTCACCTTACCCTCTCAACTGAGCGGTGTACTCCGGAGCTAAAGACAACCTGGCTCAGCGAATTCGGACAAAAATCTTCGCCATGTTTCTCTGTCGTAGCTCCACTCTCGCTCCGACTGTGATGAAATGTGGGTGGACACGGCAGTCGATCGACCCACTTCTTGGCAAGACTCTCTCAGTCATCGGCAGGCAGTCAATCGAGGCAGACTCGTCAATTCCACGAGCAATTGCCGGGGTGAAGGGACAGGAAAGTTTCGGTTTACAAGTTCACCGGAGAGGAAGAGATGGATCTCTAGAACTTGAGTGGCTCGAACTGGTAGCCTCCGGCCTGGTAGAACTTGCTTCCGAATTCGACCCAGGCGAGACGAATGGCGTGGAGGAGCGAGCTGAGGCCCTCCATGCAGCACAGGATGGCGATCGAGAGGCAGAACCAGAGGCCAAAGGCGAGCACGGTGGCGATGGCACCCGTGATGCCCGTCATGCCAAACACGTTCTGGATGGTCATGGTCCACAGCACCTCGGACAGCTGGGCGTGTGCAAGCGAAAGGGCCCACAGACGGAGATAGGAGGCAGTGTTGGAGATACAGCCGAGGCAGAACTCGATGGTGTGGATCACCTGATGAATGACCACCTCGCCGATGTTGAACTCGTGCTCCTCCTCCATTTCTCCGTCGCCGTGGCCGCCGCTGCCATGGCCGTTGCCCTGGGCCTGGGTGAGGCGGCTGTTCTCGTCGGCGTCTTCGTCGTCATCGTCGCCATCGCCATCGAGGCCGAGGCCGCGCGAGCCATCGCCCTGGTGGCTGATGGAGCGGTAGCCCTGGCCTTTGGTGGCCTGATGCTCCTTCCACTCGATGTAGGGCGTGACGCAGAGCATCCAGGGTACGCAGATGAAGGCAATGAGCAAGAGGACGGTCTGGACAAACGCCTGACCAGCGAAGAGCTCGGTCTTGGGATCAACGTCGCCGGGCTTGAGGAACATGTAGATGAGCATGTTGAGCAGGCCAGGCGGGTTGTTGCGGAAGACGGTGCCGTTTGCGTCGGTCTCGTACCAGTCGATGGACCACTTGTAGACGATGGCGAAGACGAGGTAGCCAAAGAGCGACTGCATGAAGAGCATCTGGGGCACGATCTCGGACCAGATCTTCCACTTTTGACCGAAGCGGATGAAGTTGGGCACGTTGAGAAGGATGGCGAGCGTCATGTGGAAGACGCCGAGGATGACGGACATCTTCATCTTGAGCGAGTTGGTGAAGACAAGCGCATTGTCGGCGCCGTGCCAGGTGGGGTCGATGCCGATGGCGTAGGTGTTGCCATTGGCGACGGCTTCGATGGTGCCGTTCTTGTGGGGCCAGTCCCAGCCGGTGTGGAAGAGGTGCATGCTCTTGCTTCCAATGTCGTTGTAGAGGAAGCCGGTGAACATGGAGAAGACACCCATGAGAAGCATCATGTAGCGACCGTAGAAGAACATGGTGAAGATCTCGTTTTCGACCTTGGCGAGCTTGCGCTCAAAGGCGCACATGGTGAGAGCAGCGAGCGTCATGAGGAAGGCGTGGAAGACGTCGCCGAACATGACGGCAAAGAGGAAAGGAAGCAGGATGAAGTTGAAGAGACCCGGGTTGACCTCCTTGTACTTTGCGATGCCGTAGCTGTCGCCGACGGACTGGATGGCTTCGGTGTACTTGTTGGAGCGCTGAAAGGTGGGAGGCGACTTGTTGGTGCGCAGTTCCTGAAGCACGGCCGGGGCGCTGGCGCCTGCGTTCTCGGTGGCGCGACGAAGGGCGAGCTGGATCTGGCCGAGATCGCTCGAGGGGCACCAGCCTTCGGCAACGAGCGTCTTGCGACGGTTGTCGAAGAGGAACATGTTGAGCGTGGAGTAGATGAGCTTCTCCTTGCGCACGACGTCCTCCCAGGCGCTGAGCACCTCGGCGATCTTGACGAGCTCGGTGCGACGGGTGGCGCTGGTGGAGTAGAGCACATTGTTGAGGTCCTCGATGCGGCTGAGCACCTCGCGGAGGCTCTCTTCGCGACGGTCGGCGTTGCTGTCGATGGGGTAGAGGGTGCCCCCCATGCTCTCGCTGATCTTGCGAATCTTGGCGAGGAGTTCGGCACCGTGTGCAAAGATGATGAAGACGTTCTTGCGGACGGGTTCCTCCTTTGTGGGATCGTCGAAGGGTTCTTCGATCTCGGCGTAGTTCATGTAGAGGTTGCCGCGAAGCACGCGCCAGAGGATGCGCTCGAAGATGGCCATCTTTGAGCGATCGATGGTTCCGGCGACGAATTCGAGATCGAAGGTGCCGTAGTTGGACTCTTCGCCGCGGGAGGTGTTGAATGCATGCGACTCTACGTCGTCGAGGAGGGGTGCATTGGCGTCATCGACGGAGGCACGGACGTTGTCGTTGCGGCCCTCGGCCTGGTCGAAGAAGACGGCGGTTTCGCGAAGGACGTGCTTTGCCTCCTCGAGCTCCTGCAGTCGCTTCTGAAGGGTCTCGTACGAGCCGTTCATCTGACCGAGACGCTCCTCGTGCTCACGCAGCTTGACAGAGAGCTCGTCCATGAGCTGAGGGCCTCGACGACCATCTCCGCCAGCTCCGAAGCTGATGAAAGGAAGGGCGCTCTCGAGGGGACGGACAGGGACGCCCTCCTTTTCCATCTGAGCGTAGAGGAATCGAATGCGTCTCTCCATCTCGTCGAGCCTCCTGATGTCGGTGACGAACGAGCGCTGGAAGGGGGATACGTCCGGGTTGAGATCCTTGAACATGACGTTGCCCAATTCTCCGAGTTCCTGAACCGTGGCGTGGGCGGTCTCGGAGGGGATGTAGAGCTGGATCAGCGACATGGTCGCCGACCGGAACAGGCTCTCTTCCCCCGGCATGTTTGCTACGGCGAGCGCTTTGCTAGGCAGCGTGGACCAGAGAGAAATGAAGAGAAGCGAAGGAAGGCGGTGTGCGGATGAGGATGAGGTAGGTGAAGTGAGCGAGGACTTGTTCGCGCCCCTCTGCTGGTTGGGTGTGTGTGTTGAGTGCGTTGAGCGCGCTGCCGTGCGTAATGCAGGGGTGGAGCGACGAGAAATGCAGGCGTGATTTCAGAGTGAGTCTGTGCTCAGCCTCGCGACAGCTGAACGGAGACGGATCCGACCCGCCACAGCGAATCGCAGCTGCCAAAACCGCACTTTCGTTAGGTCTAACAGCGGTCAAAGAAATCCTCCACCCCGATTCCATCTCAGACCGCCAGTGCGCGGACCCTGAAGCCTGGCTCGCACCTGTGCTGGCCACGTACCCAACACCATGCGCTCCCAACGACGTCCCATACAAGCTTCGAGCCGCAAGTCTGCGTAAGCACAAAGGACAGCACAAGATCCTCTTGGGGGAATTTCGGACCGCCATGGCGCTCGCATGCCACGCTGAATGCTCCAGCGCCGTCGCCAAACGCTCTCGTGCCCGTCGATCAATAGGCATCAGGAAGCTCAACACGGCGTGGGCGTCGGCCCTCCTCCTGCTAGCAACCTCAACGGGCGCCGATGCTCTCTTTGGTATCGGAGAAAAGCGCTTCAAGTATGAAGGGCTCATCAATGCCGGAAGCCTCGGTCTCGACCAGATCAACGGACAAATAGCCGCGTGGGGCGACTGGAACGGCGACCAGTTTGTCGACGCCATCGTCGTAGATGCGGATCGCTCGACAGCAAGCATACACGTATGGGATCACTCTGACTTCGGATTCAAGCGCAGCCCGGCAGCTACAGTCCAGACACCCGCCGGCCAAAAGATCAGCAATGTGGTGGCGGCCGACATCAACTACGATGGCCGACTCGATCTTCTCGTCATGTCCCAAAACCCCGCCAGCTCCTCCAAAGAGCTTTCCATGCAGATCTTCTTGGGCGAAGAGGGCGGATCAGGTTTCAAGACGACACCACTGTCGTCGCCGTCATCGACGCTAGCCCAGCCCATCTCTATCGATGCCTCGGGTGACATGCAGATGGACTTGCTCGGAATCCCCTTCTCCGACACCCCAGCAGCGGGAAAGAACGCCTCCGATCTCAAGATCTGGCGGAACCTTCTCGTCGATCTGTCCAATTCCACAGCGGCATTTGACATTGCCGACGCACCGCTGCTCAACGCCGACGCCGCGCCCGCATGCAAGCTGGCGAACCCCCACAGCTCCGCCTTTGTCGACCTCAACGGCGACTGTCTGGCAGACCTCTTCCTCGTCTGCTCCGAAGAGTCTTTCCTCAGCTCCAAGCACACGTACCAGATCTGGACAGCGGTCAAGCCTAACTCCAAGGGCCAGGGTTCTGGCTTCAAGCTTGCCTCGTCCGGCGACCTACCCCCGGGCACAGGAGCGCTGAGCTTCGGCGATGTTGACCGCGACGGAACGATCGATGTCATCTTCCCCACCTGCGATCGAAGCGGCGACAACTGTGTCGTGAATGTCGCCTTCAACCGACAAGTCCCACTCTGCTCCCCGCGCATTGATGGCTTCTTTGGAGGCGGACCGGGCTTCGGCTCCTTGACCACGGGCAAGAAAGATTCAGGACCTCATGCGAACGCCACTGATGTAGATCAGGCAAAGGGAAAAGCGGAGAGCGCGTGTCGCGAAGCAGAAGACCTCTGTGTCGCCGATGACGGCTTCCGCATCGACTTTACCGTTAGCAAGTCCAACGCCGATCTGCTGCGTGTTCCGCTCGATAAGCTGACGGGCGACAGTCGGTTGCTGTCCAGCGACGCGCTCGCGCCGTCGTTCCTCAACCTACCCAACGCGCTGCACCTGGGCGACTACAACAAGGACGGCTATCCGGATCTTGTCGTGGTCACCATTCCCGATCGCACTGCGGCGGGCGGGCGGAACAACGCGCGCGGCACCGGCGAGACGCGCGCGCACATCCTGCGCAACCTCGAGTGCAGCAAAGTGCCCGCGAGCGAAAAGGCGGACCTCGGATGCGTTGCCGACCGGCCCGAGGGACGCACGTTCATCAAGGTCACCGCCGGCGCCAACTCGCTCGAGGTGCTCAGGGACGTGCGCAGTGCGAGCTGGATCGACATTGACGAGGACGGCACGCTGGATCTGGTGCTGCAGCGCACCTCCTCCGTCTCGGACGGCCTGGACTCGAGCCGTCGCATCACGTTTGTGCACAACAACTACTTCCACGACTCGTTCTTCCTCAAGGCACTCACGCTCAACGGCGCCTGCCAGGGATTCTGCGAGCCCAAGGACGCACCCAAGTTCCAACCCTGGGGGACCAACTACGGCGGTGCTTCGTACAAGTTTACCGTGCTCGACCCGAATGGGGTGCGTCGGGCGCAGCAGGTGGGACAGCTTCCGCAGACCGCATACCGCTCGCTGCTGACGCCGTACAGCTATTTCGGCCTGGGCAGGACGAACAACTACGTCGAGTCGCTCTTTATCGGGTCGACGCGGCGGCAGAAGGAGCACTTCCTGGCGGTGGAGGGTGTGATACCCAACAGCCAGGTGGTCATCAACCCGTGGCAGGGCGGACGCGGCAGTGAGAACGAGCGCGGTGGTCCCGGCACATGGACCAAGCAGCTGTACCTGCATCCGGGCGACTGGATCCCCTGGGTGACCGTGGTGCTCATCACCACCATCGTCGGGCTGGCGGTCATCGTGGTGGTGCTGCACATCAACGAGCGCCGCGAAGACGAACGCGAGCGCAAACGCGCCGTCAACGCCATCAATTTTGACGCCCTGTAGAGTCGATTGCGCTTTCAGCATCCCTTCGGCATTTCAGCATTTGGACTTGATAAAGCGTGCGGTGCGTTTGCGTGATGGCGTGAATGGCGAGGCTGTCGTAAGGATGCGTAGCAGATTGGCTGATTTGGAGGAGCCAGTGCGGGTCGCGTAAATGGCAGGGTCTGGCGCTTGGGTGACGGATTTGAGCGCGTCTGGGCGCGGCAAGAAGAACAACACTTTGGCGCGTTTTGCTCGGTCCTCACCGCACCTCGTTCTGCCGTCATCCCACTGCGCAACCCTTCATTCCATCATTCCGGAAACAAGATGACAGCCACCGAGACGGCTACGACTGGGTCGCGAGCCGAATTACGATCACGAACCTCGGTCTTGATTCATCCAGACCTTGCACATGGAGGACGCTTCCTGGTCTTGCCGCACCCACGCACGGGGATTCCCACCTACTACCTGCACTCCAGCCATGCCAGCGCCAGCGCCTCGACTGCAGGCTCGAATGCTGCCTCTGCGGACGGGGAGCTGTTTGAGCTGTCGACGATCAAGGACACCAAGCACGATCGGTCGTGGATGGTGTCGGGCGTGAACACGGTGGTGTCGGCTGGACAGCTCGAAGTGCTGTCGCGGGTCGATGTGCGCTTCCTCGTGATTTCGCTACTGTACTCTGCGCTGGGCGATCGCAAGTTCCGCTCGCTCGAGGATACCTTTGAACAGATCGCGCTCGGTCTGTATGCCAAACGCTCAGACGAGGCCGTCGAAGCTGTAGCAGCCCTCAAAGCGTCGACCGAGGCCAAGGATGCTGACGCTTCACGCGAATGGTCCGACATCCTCACGTTCGGCTCACTTCCACTCGTACACACCGCTCTGGCTCAAGTTGCTGATGTTCAAGGTAAGCCCCTTCTGCCACAGACGCTTGCGTCTCGAATGATGCTGACATTGAACTTGGGTTTGGGCGGCTAGATCTTCCTGGTGGCGAAAAGGCGTTTCGAATGTCACTTTCCAAGGTGTTTGCGATCCTCGACGACAAGCACAGTCGATTGGCAATGCGGTCCACGTTCGCAGCAGCACCCAACACACTCGGACGCAGCTTTGAACGTCGCTGGCCGCTCGATTCGGACCCTTCGGCCTACCTCACCGATACACCGAGCACAGACGCCGACGAGCCCAAGGAAGCTACACAGCTGCGCCGCACGCTCGCTGCCGAGATCATTGCCACCAACCTGCCGCCCGCACTTGCGGCTGAATACTGCACGCACCTCGGCATCGCATCTGCCACTTGAGCAATGTACACATGATCGAATATCATCGGTGGTGTCGAGGAAGAATTGTATTGATGCATGACAAAAAAAGAAGGTACGAACACAAAGACTAGACGTTCCAAGCCAAGGGCCGCCTAGGCAGGCTGGCAGGCCGAGAGACGCCTGAGATTATGGAGTGGACATCAACGCTGGAGGTGGTCGGCGTAGATGTTGGCGGCGATCTCAGCCTCGGCGCGGTCGCCGTTGGCGAGGAGCTTCTCCTTGTTGTAAAGGAGCTCCTCGCGCGTTTCGGTAGAGTACTCGGTGTTCTGGGTCTCGACAATGGCGTCAACGGGGCAGGCCTCCTGGCAGAAGCCGCAGTAGATGCACTTGGTCATGTCAATGTCGTAGCGGGTGGTCCTGCGTGCGCCGTCCTCGCGCGGCTCGGACTCGATGGTGATGGCCTGGGCGGGGCAGATGGCCTCGCAGAGCTTGCAGGCGATGCAGCGCTCCTCGCCGGTGGGGTATCGTCGCAGCGCGTGCTCGCCGCGGAAGCGTGGGCTGAGCGGGCCCTTCTCGAAGGGGTACATGATTGTGTAAGGCGGGCGGAAGAAGTTTTCGAGCACGATCCACATGCCGCGCAGGATCTCGGTGAAGAAGAAGAGCTGGCCGGCCTTGTCTAGCGCCGAGGGGCCCTTGGAGTAGTCCGGGTAGACGGGCGCATCGTCGATCTGGCTCTGTGCGGCGGTGGCGTCGTAGGTGGCGGTCTTGACCGGGTTGGGTGATGCCGTGTGTGGGCCCTCGGGGATGTGTGTGGGGCCGGTCTGAGGTGTGGCGAGCGAACGGGCGATGGACGACGAGAAGAGGCGCGCGCTGTACAGCGTGGTGGATGGCGCAGCGGTGGCGAAGCGCAGTGGCGCAGCGGTGG